CTGTTGCTTTATCTAACTACTTTCGGTAGTTCAAAGTCACTCTTTTAAACATATGTAAACATGTGCACTGCACTTTTTAAACACTGTCTGTTAACTTTAGACCAGTGGTTCTCAAACTTTTTTGGTTGCGCCCCCCTTTAAACCCATAAAAAAATCTGCCCCCCCTTCCCGAATCCCCATCCCACCTCAGACTACCAAATAATGGATAATGGACATCATCTATGGCTTTTCTCTTCGCTTTCACAAACCGATCCATCTCCTATTCTAAGTTACATCCTTTGGCTGTTTACTATTTTATTTCTTTTCTTTTTCTACTGATGGTCCTCTTTTCTTTTTCTGCTGATCGGTGTGTGTCATCAAAGTACTGCGAGAGCTATAAGAGAGCGGACGTCTCATCAGTGTTGCCAGATTGGATGGACGATTTCCAGCCCAAAAGCTCACAAAAAAACACCTAAAACCGCACAAAACTTTAACTGTCGAAATAATGTGATGGAATATGTAAGGGCCATTTTTAACTCCTTAAAACAAAATAATGACGACAAAATATAAATATAACGTTAGATAAATTTCCCAGGTAAACGGATCAAATCGGGGCAAATAGCCTACATTAAAGAGAATTAGGCTACCGAACATGAATAAAATATGCGAGCAGACACTGTCAAAACGGCAATCAAGAAATTAACCGATACCCTTGAAACAACATGCACCATTTTCAATGTCAGCAGTCAGAATAATCCAATTTAAATGCAAAAAGTGCCCAATATAAGTGATAGGAAAAAGCAACATATTTTCACACTCGTTCATGCACACACCATGACAGTCAAAACTGTCATTCATTGATAGGCTACATACTGAATTATAACCCGACAATTAAAAAAAACAACAAAAAAAAAACAATAATGCGCTTACCTTCGTGTCGCTCTATAATTTTACACAGAACTAGAGGAAGCCTCTTGTTAAGTTCATATTGTAGAACATAATACAGAACTTTGCACAGTCAAAACTAATCAAGTCTAGCAGTTTTCAAGGATTTATCAATCTGG